AAGAATATTTTTTATCTTTTTTATTTTTTTGTCTCCAATAAGGCGTGGATTTTTTAGCGAATATTTTTTTGTCTACAATGAGCCCTCCAATTACTTACATCACATGGTCCTGTCGATCCACAGGCCACGCCACAAACATCAGCTTCTGTAAGAAAGGAAAACTTTCTTTGTCGACATTTGTCATTGCTGATGATACGATGTGGCATTAGCTGCAAGGGAAGAGTACTATTCCAATCGAAGTGATCACTAGCCCCAATGACATATGATGTCTCATTCATGTTTTGATTAGTTATAAAATTGATTGTACTGAGATCTGGCTCTTCCAACGATGGTGGTGGATCCTTTAACTTCCCTAAAGCAATATCATGACCCTGCAGGGGACTGAATTTTGAATGTTTTATAATTTGAGATAGTTTGTAACCATTTTTGGGTGATTCTTTATTACAGGATACCACCCTGTAGTTTTCAAGATTTTGACTCCTTTGAAAGCAATGGGCGGCTGTCAAAATAATTTTTGGGTGGATAATTGTGGCAAAACATTGATGTAGGTTTTCACTTCCCCGTTTTTGGAGTTGTATTGAAACAAGGAATGGAACAGAGATTATAGGGAGGTTCAGGTGCCGATCGGAATTTATGGAATTCAGTTGAGCTGTAGAGAAATAATTCCGTAGGATTAGAATTGTAATTAGCCTGGATATCAACATTGATAGATTCTGCACGAGAACTTATTTTTAAATACAAAATTGAAATTTGATGAAAACAAAATTTTGACATAAAGTGTGGCAAAGCAAAAGTCAGGGCCCAACTTGTCTGACTAAATAAATGGGGGACTAATATTAATGATCGGTCTATATAGAATTAGAATGTGAAAAATGTTCCATATGAATAAATAAACTTTACTATTTTCATAACCTATTACAGGTTCGAATTTAATTTGCAGCGATTTTAATATACAATTTACCTAGGGGTCTCTGAACTTATCCTGTATTTGTGTCAGAAGTTATAATGTGCATACGCGCCATTATCTGTGTATTAGTGTATATAGAAACCCTTATTAACAAAGCATACACACATTTCTGTTTTTTCTACTGTGTGCGGAAGAAAAAAAGCCTTAATATATCAAAGGATATAAGCCAAGTAAACAGCAACAAGAAAATAGACAATATGCGACCGGGAAAAGCGCCCTTTAATATGTTTGCCGTGGAGATTAGTTCATAACGTCATGTCAAAGCCTCAAAGGATGTTTGCTTAGAGCTTATAAGCGACAAGAAATGAATGTTTGCATGTATGTTATCCTGGAAAGGTTGTCACGTTTTGTTTGTGTTCTAAACAAAAAAATTAAAAATAATAAAAGAGACGCTAATGTGATGGCATGTAATTAGAGATGGAGGCAGGTGACAGATATGACACGAATTGTAAACTATAATTTTCTTTGAGGTAATAATTTAAAAGAAACATATCATTCTTAAAATAATCCCTGACATTTTTTTTAAACATCGCCTTATTGAAGACCAAGAAAAAAATCCACGCCTATTGCAGATGCTTGAAAAAATATTCTTTAAAAATCCACGCCTTATTGGAGTCCAAGAAAAAATATTCTCTAAAAAAATCTACGCCTTATTGGACTACTTGAAAAAATTTTCTTTAAAAAATCCACTCCTTGCTGTAGGTCCTTGAAAAATTATTCTTTAAAAAATCCACGCCTTGCTGTAGGTCCTTGAAATAATATTATTTAAAACATCCACACCTTACTGTAGGTCCTTGAAAAAATATTCTTTAAAAATTCCAACCCTTACTGTATGTCCTTGAAAAAATATTCTTTAAAAAAACGCCTTATTTCTCCTTAAAAAATTTAAAAAATCCACGCCTTATTGTAGGTCCTTTAAAAAAATATTCTTTAAAAAATCCACGCCTTATTGTAGGTCCTTTAAAAAAATATTCTTTAAAAAATCCACGCCTTATTGTAGGTCCTTTAAAAAAATATTCTTTAAAAAATCCACGCCTTATTGTAGGTCCTTGAAAAGATCCACGCCTTATTGTAGGTCCTTGAAAAAATATTCTTTAAAAAATCCACGCCTCATTGTATGTCCTTGAAAAGATCCACGCCTTATTGTAGGTCCTTGAAAAAATATTCTTTAAAAAATCCACGCCTTATTGTAGGTCCTTGAAAAAATATTCTTTAAAAAATCCACGCCTTATTGTAGGTCTTTAAAAAATCCACGCCTTATTGTAGGTCCTTGAAAAAATATTCTTTAAAAAATCCACGCCTTATTTTAGGTCCTTGAAAAAATATTCTTTAAAAAATCCACGCCTTATTGTAGGTCCTTGAAAAAATCCACGCCTTATTTTAGGTCCTTGAAAAAATATTCTTTAAAAAATCCACGCCTTATTGTAGGTCCTTGAAAAGATCCACGCCTTATTTTAGGTCCTTGAAAAAATATTCTTTAAAAAATCCACGCCTTATTGTAGGTCCTTGAAAAGATCCACGCCTTATTTTAGGTCCTTGAAAAAATATTCTTTAAAAAATCCACGCCTTATTGTAGGTCCTTGAAAAGATCCACGCCTTATTGTAGGTCCTTGAAAAAATATTCTTTAAAAAATCCACGCCTTATTGTAGGTCCTTGAAAAGATCCACGCCTTATTGTAGGTCCTTGAAAAGATCCACGCCTTACTGTAGGTCCTTGAAAAAATATTCTTTAAAAAATCCACGCCTTATTGTAGGTCCTTGAAAAAATATTCTTTAAAAAATCCACGCATTAATGTAGGTCCTTGAAAAAATATTCTTTAAAAAAACCACGCTTTAATGGAGTCTTTGAAAATTTATTCTTTAAAAAATCCACGCCTTATTTGAGTCCTTGAAATAAAAAATTGCTGCCTTGAAAAAATATTCTTTAAAAAATCCCCGCATTGAAAAAATATTCTTTAAAAATCCACGCCTTAAAAAATATTCTTTAAAAAAATCCACGCCTTATTTGTGTCCTAGAAAAAATATTCTTCAAATATTATATTCTTCATTGTTTGTGTGACGAAATAAAATATTTATATCTCACACGTGCCTCCATCGGCATGACTTTGTGTAAACAACTTTTATTTTTAGTATCTCCAAACTGGATTGTTGACCCTTATAAATTCGCATTACGTCTTAGTGACCCAGTTAACAGAAAAATTCTTTAAATAAATGTAATACCATAAAATAAAAGTTTTGTATTTATTTTATTTGAAGACAAAGGCCTAAATGTCATATCAGCATGGAATCACCGATTATGGATCATATAAAAGCCATCTTAAAATTTGGAATAAAATTCAGTAGTGCTTCTGACAGGTGAATTGAAGAACCGCTGCATAATGTATAAACTGCTAGTGGCATTGGTGTTAATTGCAATTGGAATCCAGGCATTCGAAGGTGTTGAAGTAATCGAAGAAGATGTTGAAAATTTGCCCCCATTCGAGGAAGACTTCGAAAACGAGCTGAGAATACCACCGAATTTCTTCGATTCCAAATACAACGAATCGCGAGTAAACGGCGGAGTACCGGTGAACCAAATCGTCCCCTATCAAGTATCCCTGCAGGCATATCGTCGAAATCGTTGGCATCACTTCTGTGGTGGATCGATTATAACTCCCTACCATGTAGTCACGGCAGCCCATTGCGTTGATAAAATGCAGCCACAGGAAATACACGTCGTGGCTGGCACCTTGACATGGAGTAAAGGTGGTGATCGTCATCGTGCAGCAACCATTCGCATACATCCACAATTTACAATGAGTCCGAAAATAATCAATGATGTGGCCATCGTGAAAGTTTCGCCAGCTTTTAATCTACATAAGCCGACAATAAGTACGATCCACTTAGGTTCGACAAATCGTATTGGCGAAAAGGTGACTGTTCGTGTAACCGGCTGGGGTTCAGTAACACCAAGTGCAAGTACTGGGCTGCCGGAGAAGTTACAGGAATTACGATATCAAACCATATCGAATAATGAATGTGCCAGGAGGGGTTTTAGGGTAACCGCAAGTGAGATATGTGCCTTGGATACCAAGGGGAAGGGATCGTGTATGGTAAGTGAAGGAAGGACCCTCCAAAAATGTTAATTTTTTTAAGAAGGTCCAACAATAAGGCGTCGATTTTTAAAGCATGTTTTTTTTTTCAAGGTCCTACAAAAAGGCGTGGATTTTTTAAAGAAAATTTTTTCAAGGTCCTACAATAAGGCGTGGATTTTTTAAAGAATATTTTTTCAAGGTCCTACAATAAGGCCTGGATTTTTTAAAGAAATTTTTTTTCAAGGTCCTACAATAAGGCGTGGATTTTTTAAAGAATATTTTTTCAAGGTCCTACAATAAGGCGTGGATTTTTTAAAGAATATTTTTTCAAGGTCCTACAATAAGGCGTGGATTTTTTAAAGAATATTTTTTCAAGGTCCTACAATAAGGCGTGGATTTTTTAAAGAATATTTTTTCAAGGTCCTACAATAAGGCGTGGATTTTTTATAGAATATTTTTTCAAGGTCCTACAATAAGGCGTGGATTTTTTAAAGAATATTTTTTCAAGGTCCTACAATAAGGCGTGGATTTTTTAAAGAATATTTTTTCAAGGTCCTACAATAAGGCGTGGATTTTTTAAAGAATATTTTTTCAAGGTCCTACAATAAGGCGTGGATTTTTTAAAGAATATTTTTTCAAGGTCCTACAATAAGGCGTGGATTTTTTAAAGAATATTTTTTCAAGGTCCTACAATAAGGCGTGGATTTTTTAAAGAATATTTTTTCAAGGTCCTACAATAAGGCGTGGATTTTTTAAAGAATATTTTTTCAAGGTCCTACAATAAGGCGTGGATTTTTTAAAGAATATTTTTTCAAGGTCCTACAATAAGGCGTGGATTTTTTAAAGAATATTTTTTCAAGGTCCTACAATAAGGCGTGGATTTTTTAAAGAATATTTTTTCAAGGTCCTACAATAAGGCGTGGATTTTTTAAAGAATATTTTTTCAAGGTCCTACAATAAGGCGTGGATTTTTTAAAGAATATTTTTTCAAGGTCCTACAATAAGGCGTGGATTTTTTAAAGAATATTTTTTCAAGGTCCTACAATAAGGCGTGGATTTTTTAAAGAATATTTTTTCAAGGTCCTACAATAAGGCGTGGATTTTTTAAAGAATATTTTTTCAAGGTCCTACAATAAGGCGTGGATTTTTTAAAGAAATTTTTTTTTCCATTAATACTTCCATTGTTTTATTTAATTACTATTTTCCTTTTGTTGTTCTATGTGCAGGGTGACTCAGGTGGTCCATTGGTCACAACACGTAAACCCACACAACTTGTTGGTATTGTTTCATATGGCACTGTGCCCTGTGCCCAAGGTATACCCGATGTCTACAGCAGAGTTTCCAGTTTTTTGCCATTCATTAATAGAGTCGTCGCCAATGATATACCATGACGTCATTAAAAAACTGCAACACAAATAGGGATCCAAATAGGAAAGCTGACATGCCACGATGTTCTTTTGTAAACAACAAAAAACTAAAATAAGTAAATGATATTTGTTCCATAATAAACAAAAAACCATAAACGTCTTTGAAAATTTACCATAAATGCATCGGATATTATAGAGCAGAACTATGTCTAAATCTAATGAATTTCAAACTTAGATATGCGTTAAATTGAAATTGTAGTAGAACGAAATTGAAATTTAGAGGGTTTATTATTTTTGTTCAGGGTATTAAAAGTAAAAAGAAATGCAGTTCATGTGACTTATTTACGGTTATAATCACAAACTTTGCATTGAAAGCCACAAATGGCACATGCGCCTAAAAGTATGCAACGTTCATTGAAATTACTAAAAACTGGTACTCATTTGGGAAATTCCTATCCTAATACCTTTCAATGAATGAAATAGGCCTAATTTCCAGAAAACACGAGCTCTAGAAAAATATATATGTTTATTTGTTATTAGAATCAAATAATTCCGCTTTTAGTTACACATACGGTCACAAATAGATGACAAACAATCAAACAAAAACTGCAATCATAAATTAATTTAAATCAATCAATTCAATTTGTTTGTCAATAAATTCTTTTAAATAAGAATGAATGTTAGCCTTTCATGTCAGTATGTGTGAGTGTGTGTCAGTATGCGTGTGTGTAATTGTCTCGATCTTTCTCGTTTATTTATTCATTTAAATGAATTTCCTTGGCGACCCATTTGTACATGGCTGGGCCATGCCGTACACTCTAAGTCATCAATAATGGCGAGTTGATTTTTTTGGTTTTCTGATGGGGAACTGAAATACTACAACAATAGTCATTGGAATAGTTATAAACAAATAAATGATTACGGGGATTTTTTGTTGTTGTTGTTTTTATTCTGAACATATTACACTGGGGTGAATATTTTTTAAAGGGCCAATTAGAAAGCGTGGATTTTTTAAAGAAAATTTTTGTAAGCCGTCTCAGACCATAAGGCGTGGATTTTTTTAAAGAATATTTTTTCTTGACTCCATTAGGCGTGGATTTTTTAAAGAATATTTTTTCTCGACTCCATTAGGCGTCGATTTTTTAAAGAATATTTTTTCTTGGACTTCATAAGGCGTGGACTTTTATACCCTTCACAACCCTGTGGTACAGGGTATTACGTCTTTATGCATATGTTTGTAACAGGCAAAAGTTAACGAGATAGACACATGGTTCATTTTGAGAATATGCATAAAATCACTTTCTGAGTTGATTTAGGCATGTCCGTCTGTCCGTTCATGTATTTTTGTGAACAAAGTACAGGTCGCATTTATGATCCGATTTGTATGAACTTTGGCATAAGTCACTTATTTGGCCCAAGGACGAAACCTATTGGAATTGGGGAAAATCGGTTCAGAATTAGATATAGCTCCCATATGTATTTGGCACAGCGTAATGAATTTGGTCTAGAATGATGTGTGTTAAGTTTCCTGAAAATTGGTTCAGATTTAGATAAAGTTCCCATATATATTTTCCTTCGATTCAACGTAAATGGTTCACCAAAGGCCCTATATATCTTTCGATTTGCACGAAATTTGGCACAACGTAATGAATTAGGCCTAGAATGATGTGTGTTAAGTTTCCTGAAAATCGATTCAGATTTAGATATAGCTCCCATATATATTTTCGTCCGATTTAAGGTAAATGGCGTACCAAAGTCCCTATATATCTTTCGATTTGCACGAAATTTGGCACAGCGTAATGAATTAGGCCTAGAATGATGTGTGCTAAGTTTCCTGAAAATCGGTTCAGATTTAGATATATCTCCCATATATATTTTCGTCCGATTTAATGTTAATGGTCCTCCAAAGTCCCTATATATCTTTCGATTTGCAAGAAATTTGGCACTGCGTAATGAATTTGGCCTAGGATGATGAGTGTTAAGTTTCCTGAAAATCAGTTCAGATTTAGATATAGCTTTTATATCTGGCCAAATGAAAAATTTAGTATCGGTTGTAGAATGACATGTTTATTGATCCAATTTCATTTTACTGGTCCTTTAAAAATGCGACGTCTGTTAGGATTCATCTGTTGAATATAACCAAAGTGGTGAAGGGTATCATATAGTCGGCCCCGTCGGACGTTACTACTTTCCTTACTGGTTTAAAGAATATTTTTCCTGGACTCCATAAGGCGTGGATTTTTTAAAGAATACATTTTTCAAGGTCCCACAATAAGGCGTATATATTTTTAAAGAACACATTTTTCAAGGTCCCACAATAAGGCGTAGATATTTTTAAAGAATATTTCTTCCTGGAGTCCAAAGGGTGCGGATTTTTTAAAGAATACATTTTTCAAGGTCCCACAATAAGGCGTGGATTTTTTAAAGAATATTTTTTTCCTGGAGTCCATAATGTGCGGATTTTTTAAAGAATATTTTTTCCTGGAGTCCATTAGTCGCGGATTTTTTAAAGAATACATTTTTCAAGGTCCCAAATAATAAGGCGTAGATATTTTTAAAAATATATTTTTGCAATATTTTTTTTAAGCATCAACAATTGGATTTTTATCGCTTCAATTATCGATTGTTGAAACTCGATTCAGACCTTGTTTATAGAGACTGAACCTTGTTTATGTGCGTCCCACTCTAATGTATCACAACATTTTCCTTGTTATTGAAATTTACATGATTCGGAATTCTACGTGAATGAATGGTGTGTATGAGTGTTGCAATCAAAAGTGATCAACAGACACAATTAAAATTGATTTCCCTTTTGTTTTTGTTTTTCTCCGTCTCCCTAGCAAACAGAGGAAATTGCAGTTTGATTTATGGAAAAAGATTTGTTTTTGTTTCAATGGCAGGGTTGGAAATTCTGTCCTTAACAATAATTTCATTTATTGTATGAAATTTACCCAAAAACAAAAGTCCGATATAGTAACTAATTCTCGGTCCACCTATCTGTCATACATAGAAATCAAAATTTTATTTTTAATTTTTGATATTTGAAGGCCCTCCATTTTTTTATTTATTTTTCATATTTTTATTTGTGTTGTTGTTTTTCCTCCAGTCATCATGCCTTGGTCTCTGCCTGTCTGTCTGTCATTGTCAATTAAATCATATCTCTTAACTGTACATTTATATTCATTTTAATGAATTACTTTCAAGTTTTTATTAGTCTCTGTTCTGGACTTTAGGGGTGCTCCATTGCTGCTGTTGTTGTTGTTCGTTGTCATTTTAGACCAAATGTGAATGACTTAATTGAAATGATTTCAATAATGTTTGGCATTTGTTACGACTTTTTATTGAACTTTGAAACACTGACCCTTTCGAATGAGATTGTCTAAACATATTTGTATTGTGGAAGGCTATATGTTTTCGGGATGTTTATAATAAAAATAATCAGAAGAATAAGAAGAAGGAGACTTTTAAATACGTTTCATTTTCTGATATAATAAAAAACCAATTAAAAAAACAGTAAGGAAAGGAAAGTTCAAAAGTCGAACGGGCCGACTATATTATATATACCCTGGGTATATATACCCTGGGTATATTTTACATATGTATCCTAACAGACGTCGCGTTTTTGTTACTTATCTATATCTGAACCGATTTCAGGGAAACTAGCCAGAGACTAATTTATATTACTTCAGTACGTTGTGTCAATAGGCCTAGCTATGGATCTTTTCACGAAGCTTATCAACATCATTCTAGACTTAATTCAGTACTCTATGCCAAAATTCGTGCAAATCGAAAGATATATAGGGACTTTGGTGCACCAATTACCTTAAATCGGACGAAAATATATATGGGAGCTATATCTAACTCTGAACCGATTTTCACGAAACTTTGCACACATCATTCTAGACCTTATTCATTACTCTGTGCCAAATCTCGTGCAAATCGAAAGATATATAGGGACTTTGGTGCACCAATTACCATAAATCGGATGAAAATATATATGTGGAAGCTATATATAAATCTGAACCGATTTTCACGAAACCTTGCACACATTATTGTAGACTTCATTCAGTACTCCATGCCAAAATTCGTGCAAATCGAATGATATATAAGGACTTTGGTACACAATTTACATTAAATCAGACGAAGATATATATGTGAGCTATATCTAAATCTGAACCGATTTTCATGAAACCTAGCACACATCATTCTAGACTTAATTCAGTACTCTATGCCAAAATTCGTGCAAATCGAAAGATATATAGGGACTTTGGTACACAATTTACCTTAAATCGGACGAAGATATATATGGGAGCTATATCTAAATCTGAACCGATTTTCACGAAACTTTGCACACATTATTCTAGACTTAATTCAGTACGCTATGCCAAATTTCGTGCAAATCGAAAAATATATAAAGGGACTTCCGTACACAATTTACCTTAAATCGGACGAACATACATATGGGAGCTATATCTAAATCTGAACCGATTTTCACGAAACTTAACACACATCATTCTAGACCTTATTCATTACTTTGTGCCAAATCTCGTGCAAATCGAAAGATATATAGGGACTTAAGTGGGCTATTTACATAAAATCGGGGTAAACTATATATGGGAGTTATATCTAAATCTAAACCGAATTTCTCGAAACTTTGCACACATCATTCTAGACTTCGTGCAAATCGAAAGATATATAGGGACGTTGGTGAACCATTTACCTTAAATCGGACGAAGATATATATGGGAGCTTTATCTAAATCTGAACCGATTTTCAAGAAACTTTGCACACATCATTCTAGACTTAATTCAGTACGCTATGCCAAATTTCGTGCAAATCGAAAGATATATAGGGACATTGGTACACCATTTACATTAAATCGGACGAATATATATGTATATATATATATATATGGGAGCTATATCTAAATCTGAACCGATTTGTCCCAATTTCAATACTGTTCGTCCTTGGGCCAATTAAGTGATCTATGCCAAATTTTATCCAAATCGGATCATAAATGCGACCTGTATT